ATCCTCACCCACAGTTGTCTGACATTTTGATTATAACTATCCTAGTGGGCATGCCTGGTGCTTTAAATTTTGGTTTTTGAGGTATAATTCACATTGTGTAGATTCACCTTTTTTTTTTAGTTTGTTTTTGTTTTCGTTTTTGCCATAGGCTTGTACACAAGCCAGACACAGAGGCAATGAGAGGGGAAGCGAGAAATCACCTCCCAGAGGGGATGGCCACACCACAATCTCCATTTTCCTCCTGGGATTTTGGGCATGTGAGCATACGTGCCCAGCATGAGTTTCAAGACACCAGGTCCAGGACTCAAACTGCAGTCAGCCATATGGGAATCTAGCACCTTAACCACTATATCACCTGCTGGCCTATGGATTCGCTATTTTAAAATGTCCAGTTTGGTAGTTTCTTAGTATAGGCACTGTGTCATGCAGTGCCATCTAACTGGAACTTGTCATCAGCTCAGAGCCAAACTCCATGCAGTTTAACACTCACTCTTCGCTCCCCCACCTCTCACCCCTCGTTGCCACTAATCTTTGTCTCTATGGACTTGTCGTTTCCGGAGGTTTCACATGTAAGGGATTCTATAATAAGTGCCCTTTGGGAACCAGCAGTTAGCGTAATGGCTATGTCGCTGGACTCCTACGTAGTCGACCATGGTTCACGTCTTGGACCCGGTGGCTTAAAACTCACGCCGGGTGCCTGTGCGTGCATGCCCAAGATCCCGAGAGGAGAATGGAGGAGAAGGGATTGCAGTGTGACCATCCCCCTGGAGGGTGATTTCCCACTTTCTGTCTCTCTCTCTGTCTGTCTGGCGAGTGCATGCGCCCTATAGCGAAAACCTCTCCAAAAAAAAAAATAAATAAATGAGTACCCTTTTGTGACTGGCGTCTTTTACGTAGTGTAATGTTTTCAGGATTTACCTCCATTGCTCCATTGTAGCATGTACCAGCACTTCATTCCTCTATTTCTGGAAAATATCTATTTGGGCCTAGCACTTTTAACACACTTGTCCTCTTTTCCTTGTCCTTTCCTGCCCAAACAACTGTGCAGTGACCTGAGGACACTTTCTCGTGGTTGCATCAAATCATATTTTGCAGAGCTAGGGTCACATTATTTAGTCGAGGCTTCAATAATGAGTTTTGACTTTTTTTTTAAAAAAATAGCCCGCTTATTTTAACTATGTTACAGATGTGATTCATTGCATAGGTGACTTTGCAAAGTTGGGAATATAATTTTACTTATTGTAGGGTTTTGTTGTGTGTGTGTGTTTTTAAGAAATAAAAGGAAGTAATTGACATTGTTAGCTAAGAAATCTGTTCATTTTTTTTGGCGAGGTTTTTGCTATAGGACGCATCAGGTTTGTTTTGATAAAGAACTCAGAACAGGGGTATCTTGTGGCCTAGTGGTTAAGGAAGTTGGATGCCACATGGTTGACCACCTCTAATTCTGGCTCTAGTGGCTTGAAAAACACTCTGGGCATGTATGTTTGTGTGCCCCAAATCCCAACAAGATGGAGAAATGGAGGAGAAGGAATTGTGGAATGACCACACCCCGTTGGAGGGTCCTTTCTTTCTCTCTTCGATGAGCACATGTGTACTCTGGCAATTAATTTTAAAAAAAAGAAAAGGAACTCAAGACAACTTGTAGAACACCTGGGTCTCTTCCATCTTTAAGTACTTGCTACTTGTTAAAGTAAAAAGTTTAACAGGTAAGGTTATCACAATGTGGTCACTAGGAGACCATTGTCATATTGTGTGAAAAGTATCAATTAGTCAGGAGAGAAAGAGGGCATGAGCTCATTTCATTGTGTAAAGTAAATCACCCAGCAAGAGGCATGGTGGTTAAGGCACTGGACTCCCACAAGACTGACTGCAGTTCGAGTCCCAGACCTGGCAGCTTGAAGATTACACTGGGCAAGTGTGCATGTGTGCTTAAAATCCCTAGAAGAGAATGTAGGAGAAAGGATTTCGGTGTAGCCATCTCCCCAACACCCCTAGTCAGGGGTGTGCGTGTGTGTGTGTGTGTGTGTGTGTGCGCACGCTTTTTCACTTTCTGTCTCTCTGTTTCTCTCTGGTGAGCATGCATACCCTATGCTAAAAACCTAAAAAATAATAATAATAAAGTAAATTTCTGAAGATGCTAGGGTATATTTCTTTTTTTTTCATCCAGTAAATATTATATTTAAGTTACCCATGTCTCAAATGTGATAACAATAAAATGGATAGCAACTTGGTTTCTTCTGGCTGACTTTAGTTTTGCTGAAAATTATAATTCTCATCCATTATTTAGACATAAAACAACCCAGGAAGGCCCTTTTACACCAAGCACTTAGCCCAGTGCCTGATATGTAATTGCTTGATAAATGTTAAATGAATGCCAATCATAAAACTTATCAGACACATAGAAAGTGATTGGGTGGTTTTAGGAGCACCTGTGAATCACCTTTCTTATCTGCCACAGAAAATAAGGAGACATTTATTCAATGTGGCATTGAAAATAAGGACATTAAAGTCTAAAACTGGGACTGCCTTTAAAAATTAAAACATCAATTTTAATCAGGGTGAGGCTTGATACGGTTTCTGAGACTGTGGTAGGTGCTATGAAAAAAGAAAAGGGCATTCATACTTACTTTGAAAGGTTCACGCTTTAAAGTAAAGGTAGATCGAATGTGTCACATTCTCTAAAACACTTAAGAGAAACTAAATCTTTGATGCAGCTAATGTTTCTAATAGATTACTTGATTAAAGATCATTTTCTAAGGGCTAC